GAACACCAACGAGGTGGAGTCTTCCTACAGTGGGGTCAGCCCCTCAAGAGGCAAGAAGCCCAAGAGGTGACTGTACCTATGGAAATTGGAGAGGCCTTTAAGAAGGCAGACGAACAGCCCAGTTCACAGAACTAAGCAGATCAATCAGGGTTCTTCAGGTGAACCTCCATCATGTCAAGGCGGCCACCGCTACAGTATGTTGGAGGTTCGACAAAGATGGTCTAGATTTGTCCCTCTTGCAAGAACCCTTACATGGCAGGAGGGTAGCAGGCCTAAATCCAAACCAAGGTAAGATTTTGTATAACGAAAGGTCTAAAAGACCACGGACATGTATCTTATATAACAATAGGATAAATTGTGTATTAATACCGGTGCTGTGCACCGCTGATATTGTTACAGCTCTCCTAACTACGCCGACAGAGGAAGGAACAAAAAGACCCTGACCACCTTCGCCAAGAGGTGCTTTTCTTTATCGGCCGGTGTTAGCCGATACTCGCCGAACACAAATCTTTTAATAAATAAGAGCGTAAAGGATATGCTCGATGGTCTTATCTTCTTGTTCGCACCCTCTGCAGAGTGCGGATTGTGACAGCCCCATGATATGGAGATGCTTCCTTACTTGGAAATAACCAGTCAGAATGCCTGTGACTAGGCGCAGATTCTGTCTAGTCATATTCAAGTATTTGTTTGCTGCAGTGTTGTCAGGGTAACTTAATAGTTCCCTGGCAACTCTGCAGTTTCTTTTTTCATCCCATCTTTACTTGAATTTCACAAGGAAATGTTCTTTAATTAAGTCTGTCACTACCGATTTTGTCAGGCCAATAGAAGGGCCAGCTCCAAAAAGTATTTGGTTGACTGCTTTCTTGGCTAGTGAATCAGCAAGATGGTTACCTTTCGATGTGGCGTAACCTGTGATCCATCTTAAGGTAACCACATTGTTGATGGATACTTCGGCCAAAGCTTTGTGGCATTCTAGTACTAACCGTGAATAAATTCGTGGTCTGTTCAGGGTGAGTAGTGCTTGTCTGCTATCTGTATAGATAAGCATGTTCCTTCCAGTGATATTGTTTCTGCTTATTTATTTTGCTGCTATGAGAATCCCCGTTAGCTCTGTTTGAACTACACTGGCACTATTGCTCAACGCCCATTTTATGTTTAGGCTTAAGGATCTGGAGTATATTCCACATCCTAAACCTTGTTTCGTTTAAGAACCGTCAGTGTAGATATGAATCGTACCTGCCACTTCTGGCAACCCCCTTGATGTAAATATCAAGGGGAGTGAGACTAAGAATGACTTCCATCGCTCTGGTCGGTGTGGTGTTCATGGCTCCTGTTATGTTGAGACATGTTGTTCTTTGAATTTGTTCTAGTTTACGGATAGCTGTTAATTTTTGGGTTTTAGATACCCACACAACTGCACCGTATGTTAGCATAGGTCTTATGATAGCCAGGTAAGTCCATGCGACGACTTTGGGGGAGAAACCCCACGTTTCGGCAGCATTGTTCATAAGCAATGTATGCTCTTTTAACTCTGTTTTCTAAATGCGAGTTCCGTGTTAACTTGCTGTCAAAGGTGAGACCTAGGTATTTCACCTCTGTCGCAAAGTTTGATTTTGTGTTTAGGAGTTCTGGAGGTTTTAATTCCATTTTCATCCTTTTACTTGTGAAAAGGACCATTTCTGTCTTCTTAAAATTGATAGACAGTGAATGTTCCTTGCACCACTGTTCTGTAATTTTTAGAGCTACTTGCATTCTTTCGCAGAGTTCCTAAATTTCCCTGTTTAGAATGACCAGGTCATCTGAATATGCGATTGTGTAGTTTTTTTTTCTGGTAGGGTGGGAATCCATTACGGACACCAAGCATGTGGTTCTGTCCGTACCTGGTAGTGTAAGACTCCCAGCTGAAGGGTACAAGGCCGGTATACCCACTAAAACCACCCCATCGCCTAAGAGAGAACCTATTTGGAACTGCCGTCAGTCATTACTTCAAATAGGTCGGCGAAGCTAGATGTTCTGCATATTCTTCCCTTTTTATTCATTTTATTTTATTCTATTCTATTCTATTCATGTCTTTTCTTTTTGTTGACAGGATTTTTGCTGAATAGTTCTTAATGGTATTCCAGTTCTCTTTGCTCTGTAGGATCTTATTGATTATGTTGTCCGGTGTTATTCTTCCCAATTTGTTTTTAGTGGCTTGTCGATCATCTTCCCATCTTACACATTTAAAAAATGTATGTTCTACTGTATCAACTGATCTACAGTATAGGCATTCGTCTGTATCAGCAACTTTGAATCTAAACAGGTAGGATTGGAAGGTTTCATGTCCCGTCAGAAGTTGAGTTATATAAAAATCAACTTCACCATGATTTCTGTCGTTCCAGAGGTTTAGGTCTGGTATTAGTCTTTTGGTCCATTCTGCAGTCACTTCCTCTTTTTCTTATCTCTCTTGCCATTTTCCCAGTATAATTTGTTTTGTTACTGTTCTATCCGTGCCATTTCGTATAAGCTCCCGTTCTTCAGCTAGTATATCTAATGGAGGTGTTCTGGCTATTACCAGCAGGGCTTTTGTAGATGCTGTCCTGTATGCACTTGTTATGCTGATTGCTATTCTACGTTGGACTTTTAGGAACATGCCCCTGTATAACTGTTTCCTCATGGCTTTTTTCCATATTGTGGCTCCGTAAAATATTATGGATTTTACAACGTTAAATACGATCCTTCTGCTATTTTCTCTTGGTCCCCCGACTTTAGGCATTAGCCTTTGTAGGTTTCGTATCGCCTTACATGCTTTTTCAGCGGTCTTTTGTATATGTGTGCTCATTGTCATATTCCTGTTTAGATGTACTTCAAGATATTTGATGGATTCCTTAGTGTTCATCGTAACTCCCTGTACCGTTACCGTAGCGCTCTTTGTTTTTCATCCTCCTACAAGTAGCTCTGCCTCTGTTTTATGTGGTGCGAGCTTTAATTTTTTGTTGTCCATCTATTCAGTCACATTTTTCAGTACTTTGTTGGCCTTTGCTTCCATCTGACTGGCATTTTTGTCTGTACTAGTATCCCGAGATCTTAACTCCTCGGGGAACCGGTAGTCGCAACACTCCATCATAGTAAAGGTTCCACAGGGTCAGGCCCAGAACGGAACCTTAGGAAACTCCACTTAGCAGCTCTATTTTTCCATTTTCCCCCACTAGTAGGGTTCGGTTTTCAAAATAGCTCGCCACAATATTATACAAATATGGAGCCATTTCTCTTCTTTGTATTTCATTTAATATGCCTTCCCACGGTGCCGAGTTAAATGCGTTCTGTATGTTCAAAGAGATGATCATACATCTTTCTTTTGCTGTTTTTTGACTGGCTTCTTCTGCTATTTCACGAACCATCTCTAGTGCGTCGATTGTTGTCTTTACTTCTCAAAAACCATACTGATAAATAGCCAGAGATCCTTTTCTTTCTATTTCTCTTCTTAACCTGTCTAGGATTAGTTGTTCAAATAGATTTCCTATAACGTTTAGCAGGGCACATTGGTGGATAAGTTTTCTCACCTTGTCCGGATTTGTTCTTTTCTATGAGAACGAATTTTGCTGTTTTCCACTCGCGCGGGAATTCTCCTTTTTTAGCAGTTCGTTTAGGACGTTTAGGTACGTGTCAGGGTAGTTTTTTGTAGCCGCCTTGATTACTTCTGGTGGTATTGAGTACGGTCCTAGAGCCTTTTTTCTTTTATTCTATTGCTTGTCTCAATTAGTTCCCATTTTGAAAAGCTTGGAACTTCGTTTCTGTTGACCGGTATTTTTCGCCATTTTTTTACCGGGTGTTCTGGAAAGAGTGTTTTTGCGATTTCTAGTTGCTTTTCGTCTGTCAGTATTGTATATGGTGCCGTATTTAGGTGCTTCATCACTATCTGGTAGCCTTTACCGCAGGTATCGTTGTTGATATCTTCTATAACCTTTTTCCATGCGTTTTTCTTTTCTTCGATAATAACATTTTTTAGGGTTGTTCTAGCATTTCGGTATAGTTATTGGGCGATTCTCTTTTGGTTTTCGTCTTTCTTTTGATTTGCTCTGGTCATGGCCCTTTTATATCTCAGGCATTCTGTTCTTGTATCGGCAACCCTATTCGACCAACAATATACCGGTTTTTTGTGGGATTTAGACTTTTTAGAAGCAAATACTTTATTACACGCTTTCGTTACTATCTCTGTTACTTTTTTGACACCTATTACTTCATTTTAAGCTTTAATAATTTTTCCTACCTCTTCGATTAGGTTATCATCCATGCTATCTTCTTTGATCGTCCATTTTCGATTCTTATTTTTGGCGCTGTCTTCGTCTCTTATATTATCATGAATAACATATGAAAGCTTAGATTTTCTTCTTCTAAAACCCTCCATTTAGTTAAGTGTTTTGCTATTTTTCTTGTGCTTAATGTTAAGTCAATATAGGACTCGCTGTAGCCTTTAACGAAAGCGGAAACACTTCCCAGGTTGTGCACGTCGTCTTGTACAAGCCACTCTACCAATATTTCCCCTATTTTGTCTTCTTTTTTAGATCCCCAGCTGTAAGATTTTGCATTAAAGTCTCCACATATTACTATTTCTTCTTCTTAAGTCTGCTTCATAACACTTTTTTGCACATTTTCTACTTCTTTTACTGTCCATCTATTCCATTCTTCTCCTATTTTTTTCTAGATAGTAGTTTCTGTGCAGTGTATGTGCCAACAGATAAGAAAGCATATTTTAACCCTCTTATATTTGATTTACCTGCCATCCTGATTTGCATGCCGTCATGTTGTCCTCCAATGTTTTTTATCTCTTTTTTAATGAGCTCTTGGGCTTCTTCCATTTAAATGGTATCATCTATGTCTAAGATCCTTAGCGTTTGATTTTTTTGTTTTGCTCTACTTTTGCCATGTTGCTTAGTTTTTGGGTCAGCTGTTTTCTGAATGCGTGCCTATTTTTTTTCTCTTGTCTTTTTATTTTTATATGTATATTTTCTTCCTCTGATTTATCCACTCTGTCTATTGGTATACCCTCTGTATTTACATCCTTTTCCATGTTTCTCATAATATCGGCGTAAGTGCTTCCCTCTGTTTCTTCTGGTTTCTTCTTGTGTGTAGATGGTACTTTGACGTCTGATTTTACTCATATAAAGTGAAAGATCCATATCTTCCTTCCTGCAAATATATTCCAGTAGCTTTCTTGTTCTCATCTCATTTACTTGCTTATCCATTGTACATACCATGGTATTTCGTTTAACTTTCTTAAGAGCACGCATCGCTTTTTTGATATTCCCTGTTAGGTAATCTCTGTCCTTGTTCGTTTCCCCGCCTGATTCAGTCATAATGAGATACGTGTATCGGTCCATGTTATCATTGGTTTCATGGTCGTCTGTAATCAGAACACTGGAGGTTTTGCTACAGACCATTTTTCCTGTCTTCAACTGTCCCTCTTCTAGCATGGTAGCTAGTTGTGCGTTACTTTCGGTGGGTTTCTGGAGCAACCTGCGATCTGGTTCTTCTCCTTCTTTTAGAATGATAATTATATCTCGTTTTTCTTTGTTAATATCCTTGTCAATGGCAGGTTTTCTTTTTTTTGTGAATTTCATCCGGCTATTTCGTTACTATTAGTGTGTTTAACTCGTCTCTATCAAGCTCTCTATTTAGCTTATCTTCTATTTCTTGTATAGCAATTTCTTTGTCTTCTTTTGCCTTACTATATATTTGTGTGTATGTCTCTTGTATCTTTTGTATGTCTCTTTTGTTTGTGCACTCATATCAGCAGTCGTTTTAACTGAGAGATCACAAGGTAGAAAACATTTCATCAATGAATGCCATCGAGGTTTGCATTTCTTTTGCATGGTAATCCAGTTTCCGTGCTGCAGTTTTGATTTCCTTTTTGGTATTTGGGATTTCGGTTACGGCTGTTTTGAGTGTTTTTGCTTCCTCAACTATTTTACGTAACACCTCCTTGAATAGGACGTACTCTCTTTCCATTTTTCGAATTTCCTTTTGGAATGTTTCATCGGTTTTCTCAGGGGTTTCCATTCTTCTCCTCTTTTTATCCGTACCGGTAGATTCTTTTTTACTTTGACCGAGATTGACGCGGGGATCTATTTCTCCTGTCAATGAGATCGAGCGTGCTCTTGAAGGGGTTCTTTTCAATGAGTCCCTTCTGTTGAAAGGATCCCATTCCGTGCTAGTTTCTTTTGTAGGTATTCTTGACATCTTCGTTCTGATTTTGCTCAGTAATAATAATTTTCTTCTCGGCCTGTGCTGACACCGGAAAAAAATCGCAGTCGCTAGATGACGATCCGCGGGGTATCCCTCCCCTGCACCGTAGACGAATTATCTGTAATGTCTAATTCCATATTTTTTTTCCTTTGGGTTTATTCCTAATTATTTGCCTGGTCATAGTCCATCATAGAAAGTTTCCTGAAGAGTGTGTCATTGTTCATTGCCGGTCCGTTTTTTGTGCCAATTTTGGTCCGCGCCGACTATTTCATTTGATCGGTACCACCCATTGCTAAGAAGCATTCCCCAATCCGGCACCCGGGGTCGCGTTGGATGGGAGATTGGCAACTCCACACCAGGCGATTATGTAGTGACTGTCATTATTGAGGCAGCTGATGAGGGTGTCGAGGACCATAATATACAGAAGAGATGATAGCACCCCTCCCTGTGATCATCCCCTTGCAACCAAGCCTCTTATATTTACAACTTCTACACTTATGTTTACTGCTCGCTTTGAGAGCATGTTATGTATCCACCCACTAACCATTTGTGGAACATTCCTGTTGGTTAGTAAGTGTATTATCTTGGGGAAGGTGGTTTTATCAAAAGCACCTTCTATGTCTATGAAAACACCCAAGGCGGACTCCTTATTGTCCAGGGATCTTTCTATCCGACAAGCAACTAGATGAAGGGCTGAATCAGTAGATCTGCCTGCGGTGTATGCATGTTGGTTTGGGTGTAGTGATGTTGTAATTACCGCATCCCTCATGTACCTTACGCATATCCTTTCCATTGTCTTCATGGAAAACGATGTCAGACTAATTGGTCGGTATATTTTTGGGACAGTGTAAGCCATCCTTCCAGGTTTGGGTATAAATACCACTTTTTACCTCTCTTTATTTTTTGGGGATATACCTCAGAGCCAACGAGGATTTGAATATACCCACCAGGTGCGGTGTGAGTTCTTCCAGACCCCACTGAAGTAGGGCTGGATAGATATCGTCAGGTCCTGGCAATTTAAATGGATAGAAGCTAGATATTGCCTATCTAATTTTTTTCATCCCCTACAATGTGTTTGGCAGTTTGCCAATCATGAATTGTATTCTTCTTCTGCCCAGTCAGCCGCGTTTGTGATAACAGAGTCAGAGAAGTGTGTTGACAGCAGAAGTTTGATGCTATCTTCGAGGTTGGCAGTTTTCGTGTCATCCTCTGTGATTAACGCACCAATGCTTTGTTTGTGGATCTTTTGAGAGAGCTTTTTGAAGCCTCGCTGTCTGCGGGAAATCTTCGATTTCTTCGCAGTAGAATCTCCATGCATCTTTTTATCTGACGATTGTTTTGCATTCTCTCAGGTGAGATTTGTAAGTATCCCAGTTCTCTTTGAGTTTTGTGGTTCTTGCCTCAATAAAGGATTTCCTAGCCATCTTCCTGAGTTGATCCAACTCAGGATACCATCATGCGGTAGTCGTCTGATCGTGTTGGACCAGCCTCAGAGGACAGGATTTCTTATAGGCATTGTTATTGTTTGGTGTTTCGGCCTCCATATCTCTCAGAGCCTCTTGAAGAAGGTGACATAGATTACCCTGTTCGTCTTTCTAGGGTTCTAAGATAGCGTGGAGGTCGGAAACATCAAGTTTATTTTAAATGTTAACCAACGGTGGTCTGACATCGAAATGTTATCAGACACTTGCCAGTTTAGAATTGATTTATAGATACCAGTTGTAAATAAAGTGATATCTATTAGTGTTGCTAATTACTAATATAGGTAACAAACCAACTTTCGTCACGGCAACAAGAAAAGAAGTCCTAGATATGACTCTGTACTCAAGTAAAGCAAGTGATAACATTTCAAAGTGGCATGTGTTAGATGAACCATCGTGCTCAGACCATAGACCGATTAGATTTGATCTAATTACCCCACCTCATTCTACCAATTACAGAAATCCCAGAGAGACGAACTGGGAAAGGTATTCAACATCACTTGGAGAGTGTCTCGAAGAGGGTATGGTGAAAATAACAGATGAACAAAGTCTTGACCGAGCAGTAGACCAAGTGCCAAAGGCCATTATAACCGCTTACGAAGAAAACTGTCAAAAAAAAACAAGGCAGCAAAGAACAAAAACAGTCTGGTAGAACAAACACTTGGAACGCCTTAGAGGCAAAGTGCGAAGGCTACTTAATAAAGCCAAGTCAACCGAAGACTAAGCCCAATATAAGGCAAAACTTACGCAGTATAACAAGGAGATAAGACAGGCCAAAAGGCAATCATGGAGGAAGTTCTGTGAGGAGTTATCTGAAACACTCACATGCTCTAGAATCCACAAAGGTCTAGCTAAAGAAGGTACTGCACACCAAGAAGGATTTCTCAGGAAAGATGAAACCTATACAAAAACCTTCGAGAAAACGTTAACAATGCTCACAGAAGTACACTTTCCGGCCGCAGAAATTTTGGTAGACCCGATAGTAGCATCCAGCCCTCAAAGAAGGTCTCGTAGGCCAACTTCTTTGGAATAAAGGCTAGCTACAGAAATTACGAGGCCGAACAAAGTTAGATGGGCTACAAACAAATTTCAACCATAAAAATCCCCAGGAATAAAAGGAATATATCCCATTCTACTACAAAAGGGACAGGAAACTATATTTTCACATATGTGTCGCATATTTAAAGCATGTATAGCCTGGAGACATATACCAAAGGCGTGGCAAAAGGTAAAAGTCGCATACCTTACTAAAGTAGGAAGGTTTAATGATATGACACCAAAGTCGTACTGCCCAATCAAATCAGTCTATCGTCATTCATGCTGAAAACGCTAGAAAGACTAATAGATAGATATATACGAGATGAAATACTGAGAGAAAACCCTCTCAACGACCGTTAATATGCATATCAGTTAAGAAAGTCAACCGATTTGGCCCTGAATAATTTCAACAGGCTACTGTCAAAATCCCTGAGGATAAAGAAATGGCAGTATCAACTTTCGTAGATATTGAGGGAGCCTTTAGTAATGCCCAAACAAGATCTATAATTAACGCCCTAACAATGAAAAGGGTACCAGTAGTCCTATGTCAGTGGATACAAGCCAGCCTATAAAAAAGGGTAATAACATCATATATAGAAAAAGCTTCGCTGATAGCTAAAGCAGGCAGTGGCTGTCCCAAGGGAGGAGTACTGGTCAGTCCTAGTGGACGAACTCATAAAAAGGCTAATATCTGCAGATTTCTACTGCCTAGGGTATGCCGATGACCTAGCGATCGTCGTAATAGGCAAGTTCGCAGGTATAATATCGGAGCGCACATAAACTGCTCTAAACATTGTTGACGAGTGGTTCAGAGAGGAGGAACTAACAGTAAACCATCACAAAACCACAATAGTCACTTTTACAGAACGAAAAGTACCAACAGGATTAAAGTCACCAGTACTGAAAGGAGTGAAGATTCCATTTGCTCAAGAGGCCAAATACTTGGGAGTCATCTTTGACCACAGGTAAACATGGAATCAACACTTGCAAAAAGTTATCCAAAAGAGCACAACATCCTTCAACTTATGTCGAAGGTTGTGTGAAAAAAATTGGGGACTACAACCTAAAATGTCCCTATGGTTATATACCAGAGTCATAAGGCCGATTATAACCTACAGGTCGGTGGTATGTTATTCAACGGCAAGCATGCCTGAATACCACCAGAGCTATGAGAACGACTCCAATAGCAGTCATGCTTAACCTAACACCAATACCTACAATGTTCATTCAAGGCGAAGCCAGCTCTGTCACTCACAGACTGCACAAAGGTTCATTACCCGTAAGCAGCTTACGTGGACGCGACTACAGCGAGCTATATAAAGAGTTGGAGAACGACCAAATAATGGGAATGCCTTCAGATGAAATGCTCCCAAAGTATAGCTTTTAAAAGCAATATAAAGTAAATATACCAGACAGGAAAGCGTGGACGGGAGGACCTCCTATTTATGCAGAATTCACCTAGTATACATACAGCTCCAAAACCTATGAAGGAGTAGGTATATATAGTACCAAGCCAAAGACAAGAATCTCACTGCGACAGTATTCCAGGCAGAGATAGCAGCAATGCATCACTACGCAAAAGAGGTATTAGAACAGAAGGTAAATGGAAAAACCATTGTCATATACTCAGATAGACTAGCGACGTTAAAGGCACTCAGTTCCATGTAGGTACACTCAAAGCTTATGTGATTTACTAGCCCGAGAAAGAGCTTCACATGCTCATATTGGTCCAGAACCCTTCTGTGGTGTAACAAAAATAACTATTAACATGCACAAAGCAGTGAATATTTGAATGTTTAAAAAATCTCAGGAGTAGTGGAATAACTCTCCAGGACAGAGACATGCCAAAGAGTTCT